TGTATTGATTGTACCAGACACTGATCCAGACATACTGTATTAATTGTACCAGACACTGATCCAGACATCCTGTATTGACTGATCCAGACATACTGTATTGATTGTACCAGACATACTGTATTAATTGTACCAGAGACTGATCCAGACATCCTGTATTGACTGATCCAGACATACTGTATTGATTGTACCAGAGACTGATCCAGACATACTGTATTAATTGTACCAGAGACTGATCCAGACATCCTGTATTGATTGTACCAGACACTGATCCAGACATACTGTATTAATTGTACCAGAGACTGATCCAGACATCCTGTATTGATTGTACCAGACACTGATCCAGACATACTGTATTGATTGTACCGGTCACTGATCCAGACATATTATATTAATTGTACCAGACACTAGTCCAGACATACTGTAATAATTGTACAAGACACTGATCCAGACATACTGTATTAACTGTACCAGACATGATCCAGACATACTGTATTAATTGTACCAGACACTGATCCAGACATCCTGTATTGATTGTACCAGACACTGATCCAGACATACTGTATTGATTGTACCAGACACTGATCCAGACATACTGTATTAATTGTACCAGACACTGATCCAGACATACTGTATTAATTGTACCAGACATACTGTATTGACTGATCCAGACATACTGTATTGATTGTACCAGACACTGATCCAGACATACTGTATTGATTGTACCAGACACTGATCCAGACATACTGTATTGATTGTACCAGACACTGATCCAGACATACTGTATACATTTACATACAGTATACATTTACTCTTCATTATGTTGATATTTCCTCCTGTATTGATGTTTTACTTAGTATTAAAATCACCTGTGGTGGTTTACTGACATAGGTTACCAAAAACATCAAGTTTACATGGTATGAAATGTTTCAAATACTCATGGTGGTTTATAATTTGATTTGAAATAACAAATTGATTGTTATTGGTTTTATTTTAACATGTTGTCTACCATTTCTCAGACCTTGTTGCTTAATTGTCTTTATGAAAGCTTTCATCATATTTGTCACACAACTAACATATTTAAATAGGTTGTTGATTGCATCGGCAATTACATGAAATTGTTTACTCTTTCACACAATCCTTTCTTTGTGTGGGATATCTTGTGTTTAGCTCACAGAATATTGAATCTGTAGTGCAAGTACGGTGGTATTTGTATCAGTCAATACATTCAAAATAGATACAATAATATACCATTGTACATGTTTTAATAGTTTTAATTTGACCAGAGACACACACCTATCATTTATATGTATGTAATGTAATCTAGGAATTACTGTTAACACATTCACCTTCTGATCAAAGATGGTCATCTAGTAGTCTTGAAAACTGTCAAGGTTAATTATATTTATTGAAGTCATAGTCACCTCATGACTGAATTTTATAACATTTTTTCAAGCCACATTTTAAGGCTTTGCAAGGAGTACTGTATGTACAACGTACATTTGGACTTGTAGTTTGACTTCTGTGCATGTGTCTGCATGCATCTCCACCTACAGTACTCATTTCACCCAACCTCCCGCCCGCTTCCGGATTTCAATCGTTTTTTTTTTCGCTCGCTTTGTTCAATTTGACCCGACAATTTGTTTTCTGATCTGCTCGCATGCTCGCCTGACAGCGCAACTGCCCGCATTTACAGTTCATTATCTATTTTTTCATGTACAAGTGTGTCATTTTAGTTTTTATGATGTTAAAAGAAGAATAAATACAATCAGAAATTTATAGAACAACCGTTGAAAAAATATGGGGGATCACAGTGCCATATAAAATTGGTAATAATACATACGCGTAGTAATAATGTCCACCATAAACAAGATTGAACCAAACATGTGAAATCAAATACGGCACTGACACAGACACAACTAATATGAAATAAAACCATTCTATTTTTGGTGGAGAGCGAAAAATGTCTACAGTAGAGTACGGTATTCGTTGAGTAACCGTGTGTAGGGTAACGGTTGCCATGCACACATGGTTTGGGTTTAACACGGGTCAAGTTGTAGTTATGTAAATCCATGGTACCTATAACAATATATCTGCAGGAATAGTAAGACTGAAAAAAACGACCAATCGATTGTTATAGAATGATCGTAATGTACAATTTGTCAAACAAATACAATACAATACATACTTGCAAATGTAATGTCAGCCAGCGCCCATCTTACTTGTCCGAAGTTGTCGAAGCCGACATCAATGGAGACCGTGTTTTTTAACTAGGCGGCTGGCAAGCGGACCAACACATTACATAAACTTGTTGAATTACAATTATGGTTTTAATTTTTTGCGCCAAATGTCTCGTTATAAAATAAAGGATTTCAATTTTGCAGGGTATTTTGTTTTATGAACTCTGGACGAAATACTTCCATGATCTGTACGTAGTTCACTTACAGCCAAAACAAAGTTAGCTTGGACATTAAGTTGTGAGACGCGACAAAACAAATGCTGCCAGTGATAGATTATTTAAATAAAAGAACAAAATAAACGCAATCAAAGGCGCCGACCACACACGTTGGAAATAAATAGAACGCGTTGCGAAGAGGAATCGCACCTGCATCTCGGCGACGTCTCCGGTCTTGAGCAAGGTTTGCCGCGTCTTGGAAAAATTGAAAGTTAAAAAGGAATCAGTGTCTGGGAACCATTGACAATGTTTGGATGAAAAATCCCACGTGAAAGTTCTTTTTTTTGTTTTTGGTGTATCTTTAGGAATACTCAGCTACAAACACTATGGTACCTGAATCCCGATTAATTCATAAATATGAATCGGTAAGGGTCAATTTCCTGCAATCCTTCAGAATAGCCTTGAGTGGAGATTAAATTTGCCTCCGAAAATATTTCTAACGATGACCTGGAAGATTGCCATGATTGAGTGCCACAATTTCTGTTTTAAGATTTATTCGGTATAATAATACAAATGTTCACCCCAACAGAGGTGGACATACAGTTTTAGCAACCTGAAGAGCTCATTGTTAACCGAGGCGAAGCACTACGATAAAGACTTTCCGTTCCCAATAAATAATAATAAAAAAAAAGACTTCCCGTTCCCAACATTATGAAATTCTTTCATCTTTTTGGGGGGAAAACCCTGAAAAAAATTGATTTTGACAAGATAATTTAGAAATTTATATTATAAATAATTCATAACGAAATGTATTCCATATGTACCCATAAATTATTTTCATAATTACTGATTACACACGAATATTACAGAAAAAAATAATTTGCTATATTATCTATATTTGTGCCTTTTATTTGTCTTGAATTGTGACTGAAAGGAGCTGGATGAAATTACAAACTATGTAGTTTGTTCGACAACTCATGTATGAACAATAACTTTAATAAATATGATTTTACTTGGTAAAAATATTGTATTTTTCTACATAAATACAAAAAAAAATTCACAATGTCGAAAACGGAAAGTCTTTATTACCATAGTGTTGTTGGTAATAGTTGAAAATGAAACATCCACGTGAACCTGCTCATATGAGATCGAAGGAGTCTCTGTTTTCAACAGCCGTATACATCTAACTGCGCCATCGCTAAGTTTCCGTGGTGGATCATGAGCTCTGTTCCTTGTTTGCACGTTATGTTCACACAATCGCAGACATTATTTGTAAGAGTGCTCTATGAAATGGCACATTTTCTCGATGTTTTAGCGAGTACTTCGCCTGGTATATAGCTTGTTCTCACATTCTACAAGATGAGTTCACTCATCGCTTTCCCACATGCATTTCTCGTTCTTTGCTGCTAAATGTTTTTGCACTCTAATATGTTGTTGTTTTTCTCTTTCTAAACATCAAGTTTATTTTTGATTGACATTCAACGAGATCGTTTGAATTTGATGGCGGTTCGAATTTATCCACTTTTACAGTGAACAATATTACGTTCGAGTTGAGTAGTACTGGTAATTACAAGCCTGATTTACATTTTTCTTGAGGTGTTTTTTGTCAATGTATTAAATATAAGTGCTTTGGGAAATAGCATGATTATATTACGTGAGTGAAAGAGTTTTATTTATTTCCAACGCGCGTAGTCGGCGCCTCTGATTGCATTTATTTTGTATTTTTATTTTCGAAATGTATCACTGGCCGCGTTTTGTTTTATGTTTTCCTTAACAATTAACTGTTCCGAGATCTCTTTCATTTTTCGTCCGGCTGCTGCCAATCCAATAATTCGTCGCCACATGTACTCAGACAAGCGATTGATTATATGTGCAGTTTTGTTTTGCGCACCCAGACACAAGCAAAAGGTAACCCGATAGATTATCTGAACTACAGCATTCATATTACTTGTGCAAATGGAGTAAGGGTCATAGTGTGAGTTGCGTTCGCAAATAACAAAGTGTCAAATTATTTTGAGCGCCGTTCGGAATAAATTTAGTCAAAATCGCACACAGAAACACACACACAACACACAAATACTAGTACTCAATACATATCGCGATTGATTGTCCAGTTATATAGCTGCTTGAACTATGCATACAAGGATGTAAATATGTAAATACAGGTCACAGTTTTCATGCGTAGCAAACGCTACAATGTGTCAAGTGATTTGAAGGCATCTTTGTCCCCCTTCCCAGAGAAGCAATATGTGTTGTATTTTAAATAATCGTTAAAACCAAAATTTATTTTGAATAAAAACATAACTTTATACATACAATGTATGATCATTGTTACTCCAACTGTTAGTTGGCAAGCGGACGATGTTTGGGAAAAAAAATGAGCGGAAAGCAGCAAGCGGTCGGAAATTAAGCGATAAGCGGTTGGGAAAAAAAGCGATAAAAGCGGGAGGTTGGGCGGAATGAGTACTGTATGTCTAGGACATGCTTGGACCAATCACATTCAAACTTCACACATACATCATGCATGATTTTTTCAGGATTCAGAATGACCAACAGGTGGCCATTTTGTTTTGCAGTTCTGAAGTGATATCTGTGACCTGATCTAACCAAATATTTATTCACCATAATTCATGATTAATTGTTGTTATTTTCTTTGCCTTGCAGGTCAAGGCAGTCTTATGTTCATCTATGAGCCAGGTGAAAGGTGAGTTAAATCAACCAAGTAACAATTGGCACAATGGCATGTTTCATCTATTTGTACTGGATTGTTTAGTTGATTTTTGCCTAATGAATATAAAACTCTGGTCATTGTGAGTTTAATCTAATTTACAGTGTTTTCAGTATGAGTTGGTACAAGTATCACACTGTAGTTAGTATATCACTTCAATCAAGAGTTTATAAAATAAGTTGATATATATCGCATATCAGCTTGTATAGATATGGAAGCTACCTGCCCTTAACTTGTAGATACTTGATATATCACATATCAGCTTGTATGAATATGGAAGCTACTTGCCCTTAACTTGTAGATACTTGATATATATCGCATATCAGCTTATATACATGTAGATATGAAAGCTACATGTCCTTAACTTGTAGATACTTGATATATCACATATCAGCTTATATAGACAAGGAATCTATCTGCCTTT